TAATTAACATTACCATTAAAACTATAAGTTAATGGATATATACATAATTGTAAATGTATAAGCAGATAGATTATATATATATATATATATGTATGTATGTGTGTGTGTGTGTGTGTGTGTGTGTGTGTGTGTGTGTGTGTGTGTGTGTGTGTGTGTGTGAGTGTGTTTACACACGCTCAATACATACAAGCACACATTAATTTATATTCGTACGTAAATTAATAGGTAAGCGGAAAATATTTTTTTTCAAACAGTCGCATTAAAGGATGAAATAATTTGTTGAGGAATGAACCACGGTATTTGTGTGTGTATTTGTTTGTGTGTGTGTGTGTTTGTGTATGTATTTGTTTGTGTTTGTGTGTTTATGTGTGCTACGGATACAAAAAACATCAGTTTATATAAAGTACTTTTGTATAATAATAATTACACTAAGTTTTTGGTTATTTTATCTTTCGTGAGAGAGACATTATTTTTCTATTTGAAACCGAATTCTAAGTAATCCAACGATCATGTTGTTGTTAATGTTGTTTAAATGGATATATACAGAAAAAAGTTACTGACAATAAAATTTTATAATTCAAAAGAGACCTATTGAAGAGCGCGTTTTATTCATTGCAGCAACTCTCATTCAATCCAGGCTCCTTTTTCCAATGCCATTTCAATTGCTGTCGGCATTTTAATTGAGTTTGAAAACCAGATTTGGAAAGAAAACATGAATAAAAATAGGAATGAACAAGTAAGCGGTTGAATGAACAAACTAGCAAACGAACATATAAACGAACATGTAAACGAACATATAAAGGAGCATATGAATGAACAAATGAATATTATATAATTATATAACGGTTATATTTTACAATATTATTATTGTATTATTATATATTATATATAACATATTATATTAAATATGTTTTATATTCATTATTTTAATTCAAATTTGTTATCCGCCAAGATGTATATAGCACTTTCCGACCTACATGCAAACAACATTTATACGTGTCTTATATTGTTGGTGTATGTGTGTAGATGTTTGTGTACACGTGTGTGTGTGTTTGTGTACGCACGCGCGCGTTGATAAGTGTGTGTATTATATAAGCGACAGTGCATGATGTATATTTCCTCAATATTTTCTATTACTCTATGGCCATATATAATAGAGACACTACTATTTTAACTACTGCTACTGCTGCTGTTTTGACTACTAATACTACTACTACTGCTACTACTACTCTATTACTACTACTACTACTACTATTACTCTACTACTACTACTACTGCTACTACTACTACTACTACTACTACTATTACTCTACTACTACTACTACTGCTACTACTACTACTACTACTACTACTATTACTATTATTACTCTACTACTACTACTATTACTACTACTACTACTACTACAACTAGATTTTGTTGTCAGATATTTTTATCTTTGGTTTATATTGTCAGCAGTTTATTAAAATGTTGTGACAGTTGGCAAGTAAATTCTGATGTGTTATTTTTTGTAATATTTGATGTGTTATTTTTTATGTTACTGTCAATTTTATGTTTTGTTGCTAATGTTATTGCATGATTTTAAAAAATTTTCTTCTGTCAGCTAGATCTAGATTATCTGGATCGTGTTTATAAATTTTTAGACCAGTATGAAATGTAACACCGATGTTAGTGCTATTACCAGTCAATGTTATCATCATTTTGTAGTTTGTCATCATCATCATCATCATCACGTAATTGTTATCATCACATTATCATCTTCATCATCATCACGTCATCATCACGTCATCGTCGTCACGCAATTACTTACATAGTAACCGCACAACGGCTATACACAAATCATTTTATCGCGTGATCATTTTTTTTTAAATTTGGATCAACTCCAGCTAACAAGGCCGATCACCTCACACATACACACACACACACACACACACAGAGAGAGAGAGAGAGAGAAAGAGAGAGAGAGAGAGAGAGAGAGTTCACCAATGTGCGCTGAGCTTAGGAACCCGATCGAATGTGTATGTATGTAACAATGAGACTCTAATGAAACATTATTTTTCTCAATTTAAGTTCCTGAACGTTTAATCAGTAGACAATTAAATTAATATCAAATTATCAAATTAATAGCTTCTGTTTTTCAACGATCCATTAAATTTTGTTTTAAAATCAGAAAAACCTTTTTTTATTCAAAATATTACTTTTGAAACTTTTAAATAAAGAAGCTTGCGAGAGGGTCCATGCCAGCAATTTGACACCTCAGTGATTTGTTTGCGTTCATTCGGCCATTCATCACGTTTTGTTCGTGAAGATGAGGTTATGATTGTGAAGTATGGCATGTGGCTGCTACTGCTGCTACTACTGCTGCTACTACTGCTGCTATTACTGCTGCTACTACTGCTGCTACTACTACCACTCTATACATAGATTGAATTATTCGTAATTATATAACTGCTAAAAAACTGTAGTAAGTAGTTTTAGTATTAAAAATAGTATAAAGTATTATTATTATTATTAGTAGTAGTAGTAGTAGTAGTAGTAAAAATAGTAGTAGTAACACTAATAGTAGTAGTAGTAGTATTAGTAGTAGTAGTAGTAGTAGTAGTAGTAGTAGTAGCAGTAGTAGTAGTAGTAGTAGTAGTAGTAGTAGTAGTAAAAATTTATAGCGTGTTTAATTGCTGTAGTTAACCAGAACAGAATGAACGCAGTTACAAAACATCAGGATTGGTCTTTTACAGTAGTAACGAGTAGATAGAAATAATATTGACAATGAAAATACAATCATACACAGGCACACACTTACACATTTATACACTTACACACACACATACATACATACATACAAACAAACAAACACACACACACACACATACATACAAACAAACAAATATCAGGGCAGGATCTTTGTAATTTATCATTACAAGAGTAATAGAGTAGGTATGCTTTAACTATGTAGTAGTCTATAAAACTTGAGGCTTTAATTTAAACTGTTTTTTATTCTTCCAAAATATTTCGAAATGTTTTAACTTTTTCAAACAAATGTTTTCCAGTGTTTCAGTGAGTTTAGTTCAAAATATTGTATTTTGTTTTAAATATGTGAAAAAACAAAATGTAATCATTTATCATTATAGATATTTTTGAGCAATATAGCAACTTTTTTGATACCTATTCCACAAAAGCTTTAAAAACTTCATTTATCTTAGTATGAACTTCAATTGTATATCAAAAAATCAATCAATGAATCGTTCAATCAATTAACCGGTTATCAAATCAATCAATCAATCAATTAACATATTCAAATTGAATAAAAAATCAACAAAACATGACGTGCGTGCCATTTTAATGATGACCCATTCAAATGAATACAAAAGCTATTCTCCAATGAAATCTTAAAAATAACTCACGTGACTAAGTTGACCTTTGACATAGACTGGATCAGATTTTAGTTTGGTGTATGAGTGCACGTATACGTGTGTACGTGAATATTTTTATGCATACAATTATTTCTAGATACTCAGTAACATGAATTGGGAGCCTAAAAAAAACGAAACAGCTCGTAAATTTTCTTAAAATTTTGACTATCATAAGCTGTTTTAAAATGCAACTGATTGATGCCTCATCATCTTCAAATTATTCACGAAGAACTAAATATATGTTAGTAGCAATCATGGTAGTAATACTAATACTGCTGCTGCTGCTACTACTAATACTACTGATGCTGTTTCTGCTGCTACTACTAATACTACTGATGCTGTTTCTGCTGCTACTACTACTAAAAACAGTGTTTCATTTATGTCGACCACATGCAGCTTCGAAGCTGTTGAAAATAAAAATTCCATAATCAGCTTATCTGACCTACGAAGGTGCTATGTTATAATTTTGATGTTGTTTGCATTTGAATAATTGGTTTGAGTCAGCTGGTAGCACGTTTGCAAAATGGTAAAATGTTAATTATCTTCAAATACGCATCTATTTACGTGGTTGGTTAGTATTCCACACACAACTTCTTGATACGTTACAAGCGAAACTTCTTCTCGTTCTAACTTTATCAACTATAAAACTGAACCATTTCTGCAAAATTATCAAGAGTGACGGTGGCAAGAACATCAAAAAGTTATCGGAAATTAATTAAAAAATCGAAAATAACTTTTAAGGTTATTTTCGTTAAATTTTTTCCATCGTTAAAATATGCACGTAGATAATTTCATTAAAATTAAAAGTGTTGCTAAATTTGAATTTTCACAAACTCACCGAAAATTTTTACGCACAAAAATTAAATTGATAACTGAAAAGCAGACGGAAAATATAAATGGAGAAAAAACACGAAATATTAAATGAAGGGGAACGTTGGAATGTCAGGAGCCGTCAACATCAACAGCCTCATCACGGAAATGAAGAAAAAAATACTGAAAAAAATTGTTCTATCTAACACACACGCCTCTCAAAATATGGATAAAAAAAATTGGCATGTTACATGTATCTTACACCAACCAACTAACCAGCCAATCGACCAACCAACCAATGGAGCAATCAACCAACCGACCTGCATATTTCAATCATTTTCATCGAATCCTGTCAAGTTGTGATCCCAATTTTGAGAAAATGGATTTGGTTCAAAAAGACGTTTCGCAATACTACTATTACTACTCCAGCTACTTTTCCAGTTACTATTACAGAAACTGCTAAATTCATATTTACTAGTTTAGTAGTTATATGTGAAGTTCAATTTTAAAATTGTAGCAAATATTTCTAGTGTTTACAATAGGGTACAAATTACTGCAGAGCATCATTGGTATATATAGTTTATTTTTCTTTATTTCCATTAACTTTTCCCTTTTGTTTTTATTAACAAATGAAAAAAAGAAAATCAAAATAATTCAATGAAGATAAGTTTAAAATATTTTTAAATTACAAAAACACTAAATAAGAAACATACAAAAAAAACAATTTTGGTCAAGATCTTATTCAGAAATTAATTTTCCCGCGATCTCATTTTAAATTCCATTCAGATGCAAACATTGAACAACATCGGAAAATTGAACAACAATGAACAATAGTTAACCTCGCAGGCCAGGGACTTGAATTTGAATAGCAGAGGTCCTTGTGCAGTTTCACTGTCTTTGATTGACCAGAAGTCGTTTTGTTGTTTGCTGTCGTTTCCGTTTCCGGTAAACAGATGAGAGCTGTGCGTCGGCGTTGCAACTTTTTCAGCACCATTGGTGTCACTTGTTTGTGGAAATCGTCCATGTTGCTTTTGGTTGTTGTTGCTGTTTTTGTTGTTGTTGATGTTGTGGTTGTTGATGTTGTGGTTGTTGATGTTGTGGTTGTTGATGTTGTGGTTGTTGATGTTGTCGAGTACGATCTTGCTGTGGATGTTGTTGTGGATGTTGTTGTAGATAATGTTGTTGTTGATGATATTGTTGTTGATGATATTGTTGTTATTATTAATGTTGTTGTTCAGATTATAGTTTCATGATACGTAGTTGGTTGATTAGGTAGATATGTTTGTGTTGAGATTAATGTTTATGTTGTTGTTTTTGTTGTTGTTGTTGTTACCATAGAGTTGTCAAGATTTTTCTTTTATTTTGTTGGTAAAACCGCAATGCACCAAACTTTCTAGTTGTCGTTTTATTTAATTCTGTGGAGTAATCCTACCTGCTATCCCTAACGAGAATAACTTACAATTAACCAACAAGTAAAAATATTACGTACTTGCACTTCTACTGCTGATGTCACTGATGTTATTGATGTTATTAATGGTGTTGGTGTTAATGTTGTAGGTGGCCAGTGTTGTTAATGCTGCAAGTTTTGTGTTAATGTCATTATGACGATCTTTTAAAATGTTTAGCTGTGTTTATAATGGCTGAGATACGTAATTTAAAAAAAACATTTTTGTTCAATTTGTTTCATTTAAAAAAATGTCACGAAAATTTTGTTTAATACATTTGTTAATGTCATGATTAGCATTGTCATTAATGTTAATGTTTTTATTAAGGTTACTTATTTGAATGTAATTATTATTGTTCTGTTTATTGGACCACAACGTAAATTTAGAATTATTTCAAACCGAGTTAATCCTGATAATTTGTTTATTTAATTTTTCACATTTTTAGGCTCCGTACTGGAGTAGCATTAGCGTTGGTGCTTCACTCCACTCTTCAATGACACTTTTTCTTACAAAGTTGTTGTTGTTGTTGCTGTTGTTGTTGTTGTTGTTGTTGCTGTAGGTGCAGTTTTTGTTGTTGTAAATTGTATTTATAGAGTAGTTGCTGTTGTTGCGGTTGTTGGTGTCGTCTGGTTGTTGTTCACTTTTTATAGAAATGTTTTACTTACGCAGTAATTTTTAGAGAAAGGAAATTTGAAGTTTAAATTATAAAAGATGTCGTTAAGAGTTGTTGATGTTGTTGTTGTTGCTGTTACTGTTGTTTATGATGTGGTTTATGATGTTGTTGTTGTTGACGTTGTTGTTGATGTTTTTTATATTCCCACCTGCTGGACATCTGATGGAAAATTTTATTAAAATAAAATTTCGGTTTCGGCGCCTTGACGTTAATCTTGTTAAAGTTTGGGGTGGTCTAGTTTGGATGAAGTTTGTTGTGATGTGATGTTGATGTTGTTGTTGTTGTTATATGTTGTTGTTGTTGCTAGTGGTTAGTTTTTGTTTAACGATGCCAATTGTGATGATGGTGATGGCTACTAGACCGATGTGATGGTATATGAAGATGCTGATGATGACGTTGATGATGACGCCGATTAAAATGATGAAGATGATGATAATATACTGAAGAGATATACCCCAAACGTGCATAAAGTTATTTTTGCTTCTATCTCACAATGCAGTTGATTAATTGTTCGCGTTTACGTTTCAGACTTACATGCGTATATGTGTGTGTGTGTGTGTGTGTGTGTCTGTGTGTGTGTGTGTCTGTGTGTGTGTGTACGTTTTGTTTAAGTTTTTATTTAAGTTCGTTTTTACACATATAATTGCTTGTATAAGAGATGATGATAAAGATAGTGAAGATAATGATTATGACGATGACGACGATGATGATGATGAAGATGAGGATGAAGATGATGATGACAAAGAGTGCGAAATGAATGTTGATGTTGCAAACAGTTCAAACGAAGGATTCCGCGTGCAATTGAAACAGTGGTCATAAACTCGAGCAATAACCTCTCTACATCGCTTTATAATTAACTCACTTACTCACTGTTATGTGTATGTTTGTATGGGTTTCTATTTATGTGAATGTGCTTGTTTGTATGTGTCTGTCTGTATGTGTTTTTGTCGCATTTGTATGCGATTGACATAATGTTTATGTGTATATGTTTGGCGCAACTTGTTAACGAATGTACGCTTTTGTGCAGTTTTGTATGCTTGGTCGTTTTGTATGGGATTGTATATTTGATGTTTGTATGCTTCTTGATGTTTGTTGGTTTTGGTTGATGTTCGGCGACGATGATCTCAATTATGATGATGATGATGATGAGAATGACGATGATGATGGAGGTGGTGGTGACGAAGACGACGATGATGACACCAAAGATAATGAATCGTAAACCATTTCTATGAAGGTTAATATTTTCGACGCCAAACAATATAAAATCATTTACATATTCTAAGAATTAGCAATCAACTTTTTATAACTTAATTAATAAAAGTACTAATATTACTATATCAACTTCAGATGACTATTAACAAACAAATACAATTAAATCAACCATAATAATTAAGTAATTATATAATAATGATATATTTAATAAATAATAATTATTATGAAATAACAATATTAACCAAATAATAACTATAATAATAAACAATATTAATGAAAAAATTTTACTGACAATGAAAAAATTATATTTAAAATAAATAATAATAAAAGTAATAATAATAATAATAATATAACAATAATAAAAACAGTAATAGTAGTAATAATAAAAGTATAAGCAGCCCCACCAACGGCCCTAAATACAACGACAAACATAGTTGACAAGCAAGCTTGGAATGCTTTTATGCATAAAAGCTAGTTCTCCACGTCCGTGCTCCGTTGTTTTATATGTTATTTTCAAGGGCTCTCTCATCGTCGTCATCGTTGTCGAGTTTCGTCATCGTCATCTTCCTTTGTTACATTCGTCATTTCATCTTTATCACATCAGCGTCATCCAGGCCACCATCATGGTCATCTGAGTCGTCATCATTATCACTATCTTAGTCGTCATTGTCATCATCCAAGTTTTCATCATCAATATCATCATTATTTTCTTCTTCTTCTTCATCATCATCATTTAGGTCACCATCATCACTGTCATCACCGACGTAGTAGTAGTAGTAGAAGTAGTAGTAGTAGTAGCAGCAGTAGCTTTTAAACATTGTAATGATTATAACAATTATCATCAACACCCCAAAAACATCATCATTCTAAACATGATAGATGACGTCATCGTTATAAAATTAAAGGCGTAAACATCATCATTATTATCATCTTGTTTGTAGGCATAGTCATTTAAACTGACAACACAATTATAAAGCGCTGCATCATTTATCTCCTAATTAACTTTTAAAAGAATGAATGAATGAAGTTTTATTTTTTTTAAAGCTATCATTATCATCATCCTTATAATCATCACTATCAACAAAGCCACATAAACAACATTAACAAAACTACGAGAACCATCATCATCATTGTCATCATTATCATCACCATCATCATCATCATTTTCATCATCAACAACAACATTTTCATCTTAGTAGTAGTACTAAAAATAACACACTGCTTTATTTCAGTTGCCCATTTTGGCAATTAGTTTTACCATAAATATTTATTGATGGATGGTTCAATTTTACATTTGGTAAAAAACATTTACATTATTTTCATCTGATCATCCATTTAATCAGTCAGATGAACAGTGAGTGAGATAAAAAAACGTCTAATCAGACAGAAAGACGAGCAATCAGACAGACAGACAAACAGACAGACCGACGAGCATTCAAACAGACAGACAAGACGACGGGCAGCCAACAATGAAGAATAACCTTTAAATCTCCTCAATTCAAAAATTATTCAAGCCTCTAAATATGCCATCAAATGATATTCATCGTCATAGTCGTCGTCACCATCATCGCGAAAATAGAATTCTATTGCAGTAACCACATACATACGTATACACACACACATACATACATACATACTCACACATACTTACACATACATACACATACATACATATAAGTATACATTAGTTTCCTTTTCTTTCCTTTCCCGATCTTATCCGAATGGATATTATTGAAAGAAGTGCTTATAATCTGGAAAAAAAACGTTATATTCATTTTTTTGTCCGAGATAAATCAAAAAGATTAAAAAATTACATTTTGGAAAATGATTGAAAGATTATAACTGCCTGCAGAAGATAAGTAATTTGCCACCAAATTCCAAATAATAATTTTTTTATGGATAGAGTTCCTAACAAGTTTTTTTGTGAAAAAAACATGCCAATGTTTTCAATTAGTTTTATCTTTAATTTTGTATTTTCATTTTACAAAATTTGTTAGGTTAACAACAAATTTTTAAAGACAATCTATCTATCGATTTATTTATCTATCTGTCTGTCTTTCTTTCTGTCTTTCTTTCTTTCTGTCTATCTATCTATCCATAGCTCTCATCAATCAATTTTTTTCCACATCAGTAAGCAGCATCAGCCGGATAAACATAGAACAGCCGACAACAACAACAACAAACATAAACATGAAAACGAACAACTCAAACGCCAAACATCTACATAAACAACAACAACAACAACGTCGTTTATGCGAACACTATCAACTTCAGCATAAACTTTCACAACTTGAACACATCAAAAATCATCTTTATAAACAACAACACGAAAAAAATCAACACAAACAAAAACATAAGACAACTACAACAATAATAGCTGTAATAATAAATAGCATGTGCCATCTTTGCATTGAACCGTCAGACATAATTCCTCAATCATCATCACAACCACGTGACTTCCGTTCTGACGTCATTGTTTACATTTGTGTGCTTCCGAAGATTTATTGTTTATCGGCACCCGGTATTTGTCCTGCTAGGTTTATAACCCGGCGCCATCACCATCAACAACATTATTTGAAATAATACAAAATGTTGAACCCAAATTAAAGCCTAACAGCAAGCGTAATATCAACGCATGTTTAAAACGCAAACCGAAATTTCAAAAAAGATCTTCGCATATTGATTGGCTTTAAAATGAAATAATCTACCTGGAAAATTAATTTGTAAACCTAAAAATTAGTATATTTAAATATGCAATACATGAAGTACATACACGTTCACACACACACGGCAGATAAAATATATCAACTTCACAATTATTATGAACAATGTAAGCAGACACATGCGCATGCATACGCATGTTCAAGCACAAACAAATTTGCATATTAATGAACAAAGGACTTACACAAGCACATACATACACAAACTATCCTGGAGGTACACACATATAGATACAAAAATTTTCACACACACACACAGACACACACACACACACACAGACACGCAACTCCTTAGCATCGCGTTACACAAGTCATTTGGTTGGTATGCAAGCAGGCAAGCATATTACGGTGAAACATAAATACAACATGTGTCTAGTGCAGCAATGATGTTATCAAGTACTTTTATATGAGTGTGACGTGTGTTGTGTGCATGTGTGTGTGAATGTGTGCATGTTAGTTTGTGTAGGAGTTTGTATATGTATGTGTATACATTTTCGTGTGCGAGTGTGTACTTGTGTGTATGTGTGCGTGTGTATGTGAATGAGTGTATGTTTGTTAGTGTGGCAGTTTGTATAAGCATGTGCATACATTTTCGTGTTAGTTTGTGTGTATGTGCGTGTGTGTATGTGTGGTATGTATAGTGTGTATGTGTGTGTGTTTGTGTATTTAAGCGAAACAACTGTAATTCTTTCAAATAGTTGAATGCATGTAATTGATGTATAAGTGTTTGGCGTGTGTAAAAATGAGTTGCCGTGTAATTTGTCGTTAGTTCGTGTTTCTTGAGTGTTTTATTCTTTGTTTGTGTTAATTGTATGTTCTTTGTTTTGTGGTTG